AATCCCCGCAAAAACCGAATGGCCTCCGTTTGCTTAGCGGTTCTCGGGGGATTTCCAGTCTCGGCGTTAGCAGAACCTGTGGCAAGCGGAGTCGGCTTGTCCTCATTTGCCTAAAACCCCGGCAATGACTTCAACCACCCTAAACTCCCCTCCCCCGCCCTAAGGTCTGAACTGCACTCGGGTAACCGAGGGTTTAGGGTTTAGGAAGTTTAGGGTTTAGGGTCAGGTAACCTCCCAACCGCACCCAAGTCTCGGCTCCAACAGAGCACCGCTTGTGGCCACCCGTCTTGGGGGCTCTCCTACCATGGCACGGATTCCCGGAGATCCGTGAGACCATAAATGACAGGGTGCTTAAAGGAGGGGGGTTCAAGGGGGGTATGTAACCCAAGGTTCCCAAATGAGCCTTTGTAGACCCTAAACGGCTTTACGATAGGTGCACCTGTGATTTCGGCGCTTAGGGTCTGGATCGTCGGGGCTAGTCCAGTCTCCCGCGGGCCGGGAGCAAGGCTCGAGAGTTGCTGGCCATGAGTCTCCGCCTAGCGCCAGGGTCGCTAGACGTGTGTTTTGGGCTTTCAGCAGTCGAGTTAAGACGCGTGCGATGGGGGTTCGGAGTTTGTTCTACCTTCAGACGATTCCCGACCATCATCTCGCGCCCTTTGAGATGTGAGGCAGCCTTGCAGACCTGGAAACATGTAAGCTCAGTAAACTGTAAATGAAATCTCCTTTACCATTCCTCACACTTCAGGTCCAGATCCAGGAGCTCATCGAGGCTGGTGTTTGGGCGGGCGGACCGTGCCAGGTCTTGGATTTGTGTGTGAGAGTGGTAGTGGAGGTGGTGCAGTGGAGGTGGTGTCGTGGCGGTGGTAGTGGCAGACTCAGTAGCATGGACAGTGGCACTGGCAGGGGTAGTGGTAGTGAGTAGTGAGTAGTGAGTAGTGAGTAGTGAGTAGTGAGTAGTGAGTAGTGAGTAGTGAGTAGTGAGTAGTGAGTAGTGAGTAGTGAGTAGTGAGTAGTGAGTAGTGAGTAGTGAGTAGTGAGTAGTGAGTAGTGAGTAGTGAGTAGTGAGTAGTGAGTAGTGAGTGGTAGTAGTGGGAGTAGTGGGAGTAGTGGTAGTGAGTAGTGGTAGTTTGTAGGGTTAGTCGTTGTCGTAGTAGGAGTAGTCGTAGTGGTAGTGGTAGTGGCAGTGGCACTGGCAGTGGTAGTTGTAGTCGGTAGCCGGTAGTGGCTAGCAGGTTGCATGTAGCAGGTAGTATGAGAGGTAGTAGAGGTAGTAGGTAGTGGGTAGTAAGTTGTCGGTAGTAGGTAGGTAGTAGGTAGTAGGTAGTAGGTAGTAGGTAGCAGGTGGTAGGTGGTAGGTGGTAGGTAGTAGGAGATAGTCGTAGGTACTAACTCTGTAGCAGGTAGCTGATCGGTAGGTGGTAGGTGGTAGTATTCATGGTAGTAGCAGTCAGAATTCCTCACGCGCAATGCTTCGGCCTGCTGCAGTGCTTCGTTTTTGAAGGAAATAGCAGCCAGCATGGTCGAGGCAAACGTCACGAGATTATTTGAAAGTCGTCGTCGTAGATTTCGGCCGAGAAGAATGCGCAGGAGCCTGATCAGACCATCCTGGATCTTGAGAAGCAACTTGCCGAGGCACATGTTTGCAAACCGGTGCTCCGCCAGAGTTGTGGCTTGTGCCTGGGACTGGTTCTACGAGGATGTTAACCTTCCACAGAAACATGTCCTCCCCCCCACTAACGGCTGGGGCTTGGGCAGCTTGGAATGCAGTGTAGCAGCGACTCATGATGCTCCCAGAGATTAGCACACCAGCTTCTCCGACACCCAATAAGGCAGCGTAGGCAGCACTGTTTCGAAGCCCAGTGAAGATTCAGGTCCCGAAGCGCACTGCTCCGATCCTCGTGGAATCGAGCATCCCTGAAGCGTTCGGACCTTTGAACAAGTGTTGAACAAGTTGCTCGTGCAATGCCCATCAAGGCGCGGCAGCGGGTAGAGGACCTGCAGCGTAGACTCAATGAGGCAGCCTGGGGCATTTTTCCGTGCTTCGGTTTGAGGTCTTCGTTTGTTGATGGTTTTCGGGGGGGCCTGAGGTCTTGGTTTGTTGATGGTTTTCGGGGGGGCCTTGGGTTGAGGAGTTTTCAGGAAATTGGAGCTTAGTGTTGTTTCGGGATTAAGCGAGAGGCGAGGGGTTCAAGTTTGTCCTGTTGGACTCCGCTTAGGCTCGACCAAGATCTATCGCGAACGACAAAAAACTCACATCTTCAGGATACTCTGTGGTGGGTGTTTAGGGCTTGGGGAGTTGCCTCCTGAAGCAACCTTCCTTCATCTTCAACATTGCACACTTAGTGTACAAACTCGCCGGTTCCCTGTGCAAAGCCTCTAGCCGTGCTGAAGCTTCCCTTTAACTCAACATGCCGCGGTTTCGGCACGTTTTGGGTTGCGGCCTCATGGGCTCCATCACATAAGAGCCTGAATCCGCAGAGCTGAGAAGCCGGAACAACCGCAACAGGCCCGCAGCGCGAGGCCCAAGGCGCCGGCAAATTTCTCAGGGACTCGACTTCAGTGTTCGCGGCGTGCAAGCTTGAGCGCTCTTCGTAGGGTTGAAGGCTTATGAGGTGTGATTCGGGCTTGTGTGTCTGTGTGTGTGTGTGTGTGTGGTTTTGTTTTGCTTGGGGTGGACAGTTGTGTGTGGATGGAAGAGTACTGGCAGAGTACTGGCATCATGCTTCCAGGGCTTGTGCATGCCTATTTTGGGTGCGGGGGTGTCACGGTTGAAAAGCTGATGGGCCACATTGTCATCCTTTGGAAGGGATTGGGGACGAGCCCGATGGTGCTCGAACTGGAACTCTCGAGCCCGGTAAGGGAAATTCCTAACAAAACGAAAGATGCCCTAAACCCTAAGCCCTAAACCCTAAACCCTAAACCCTAAACCAAAAAACAAACCAAAAAACCCCTAAACCCTAAACCCTAAACCCTAAACCCTAAACCCTAAACCCTAAACCCTAAACCAAAAAGCCCTAACCCTAAACCCTAAACCCTAAACCAAAAAACCCTAAACCCTAAACCCTAAACCCTAAACCCTAAACCCTAAACCCTAAACCCTAAACCTTAAACCCTAAACCCTAAACCCTAAACCCTAGGTTGTCCAAGTAGGGAACCGTGAAGGAGCCATCCTCCGGGTTCCGGCGCATGGAGATCCAGGAGGCGCCAGAGGGGTGCCTTGATGGGGCTTTCAGGGCCCTTCATGGCACTTGTTGATGTCTGGCAGAGTGGCTGTTTAGGGTTTAGTTTAGGGTTTGGGGTTTAGGGTTTAGGGTTTAGGGTTTAGGGTTTATGCAAGCGGTCCCATGGACAATCCAGAAGCAAAATCACTTGTGGATTACTACAACGGAGGAATAGACCTCATTAGCTTAATGTGGTCGTCTGTGCAACCTCCAAAGACTATCGAAAGACATTGACGGAACAGGCCTCGCCACAGCAGCCGTAGAAATCGAGTAAATCGATTGCAGACCACAATGATATTCGATTATTGGTTAATATTATATTTCTATATTTGCCAAAATATTCGTTCTAGATTTTCGATTTCTTTCTCGTCATAAGGGGGCACCATGATTTTTTCAACATCCATCGTTCTTGGAAGAAGGAATATTGACAATCGCCCATATGATTTATTTGATCGATTTATACAATCAATAATCAATCTCGATACAATGATACAAGTGATATCTATATCCAAAAACACCAATTATTATAAGAAAGACCATGATCGAAATCTATTAGAAAAAATATAAATTGATTCTCTTATTAATCTGTATTATTAATCTATATGCGTCGACCTCCCCCCCATAAAGGGAGATGAATATTAGCCAATGCCAATTCGGGACAAACGGCATCTGCGCCTAAAATATCATCATTTCAATTTAATCTAATATTGAATAAACAAATATCTCCCAATAGCCCGAATCGAGATATAAAAGACCTCATATCAAATGACCCCAAAATCTATGCCTCTATCTCAACCTACAATTATCTTACATAACACACAACGTGCAAACCTTATAGAAATTCATTAGAAGCGATATCTACGTCCAAAAGCACCAATTAAAATTAATCAGAGATTGAAATTTATATAGCTTAGCACCCAACTGAACCGAGCGGATAGGTGGAAGCTTGTCTGCGGGCCGGTTGGTGCCATGATCTGTTACCTCAAAGAGCTTCGCGTCGAGGCCCCTTCCCCGTCATGCTGGGCTTTCCCCGCAGATGCCGACCCTGCCTGCCTAGTGGGAGTTCCCTTCAAGGACGGCCTTGTCGCTCTCAACCCCCTCGACCCCTCCCATTTGCAAGCTATCAGTGCCCTTCTATGGCGGCTCTGCACCAGAATGCGCCACGAAGCAATTGCCCAACAAAGCGGGTGTGCAAGCCTCCGTAATGGTATTGACCATACTGTTCTGCGGGAAATTGACAAGGCAACCCCCAGACACAAAAAAGGTGCCATCAGAATGGTATGGCAAGGTGCTTTCCAGTGTAGGAAATGGAAAGATGGCGGTACCTGCCCCCTGTGTGCTGCTCCCCTCACCACCGAACACATCGTTTACGACTGTAAATGGTGGTCCGGGAGGGCCCCGCCGCCCACCAACACTGGAAGAAGAAGAAGAAGGCGGCCTTTCCCTTCCCTTGCCTCTGGCTCAGAGGGCTCATGCCAGCCTCGGTGACCTCCCGGGGCGGCTACGCCAGTGGCCCCGTCAGTGAGAAAACCTGGGGCGTGGGTTCCAGTCGCCTTTGGCCTGCGCACCTCTTGTACGCAACGGACGCGACTGGTGGACCCCATAGGTCTGACCCTAGGGGTCGGATCGTTGCGTGGGCTGTCACCATTCATGAATGGCGACAGGGGGTCCATGAGTGCGTCGGTGGGGTTACAGGCATCCTGCCCCCGGGCTCCACTGTGGCGCAAGGCGAAGCCTACGCTATCGCCCGTGTTTGCCACCATCTAACCGAAGTGGCGGATGTCACCACGGACTGCCAAGCAGCCGCCAGGCAACAATTCGCTACAACCAAAAGCTGGCCCTGGGCACAAGCGCGAGGTCGGGAACACCTCGCCAGCCTTCGAGCAGGTGCTTGCGGCCTGCATCGCGATCGCCTGCATCACGATCACCTGCATTTTCGCCGCCGCCCTTGCCCGGCGCGCTGCGCCAAAGCCAGTGTGTCTTGGGAGCAAGACGCGGGCTGCAGTGTGGCATCAATCAGGGAGTCAGGTCGAGCGCAAGAGCGAGCGCAAGGGCTTACTAAGAAGGGCGACAAGTGAGCAAGGGCATGCATCCTCATGAAACCCCAATCATCAGGGATGCTTGAAATGACCGAGTTGGCATGCCGCAGCCCCCTCCCCAAATCCACGTCCTGCCCTTGTGTGTCGACGTCTGATCTTCGCTTTCATGGAGCGTGGACAGCTGCATCCCATCATGCTTAAACTTCTGCGTATTCGGGTAGCGTCGCCTCTTGGGGTGTTGTGGTCCAATCTGCAAACGTCCTGCACCTGCTGTCCTGCGATAGTGTTGTTCTGCCGGGCACGGAGGAAGCCGAAGCCCTTTGGTTAGTTTCAGGATGTTTCAGGATTCAAGGCATGTAACGCCCTGTGAAGCAAAACGCATCCTCCTTGACTTGGATCTTGGCCTGAAGGCCTTCAGGGTGTGGGAAGCAAGGTTCTTGCTGCGGTTTTTGAAGTCAACCTACCATGGCTTGCGTCTGGTTGGTAGAGCCCCCCAACACTTTGCCAGCGTTTGGTGGCTGAGCCGCGGAGCGATACTGAACACAAGCTACGAATTTGCAGTCCATGCTTCCCGCGCGCGTCCATGAGAGGTAACTGGCCTCCTTGTCTTTTTGGGTTTAGGGTTTAGGGTTTAGGCCTAGTGCCGCGTTGCGGAGGCTGGAAGAGGCGGAGCCGGCTGCGCAGCCCGAGCGCCCTGCTCTGAATAGAGAAGTACCGGAGTCGACATTTCCATGAGCCGGCTGGATTTTCATTGATTTGTAGTACAATCTTAATACTGGACTCGGACTCGATGTTTCCGTGAGTACCGGGAGCTAGCGACGAAGTCGTGGTGTTGTACCATTACACTGACGAAACTTGTTTCAGGCACGGCTTGCGGGTTCCTGCTGTTCAGCGATTTGTTTTGAGGTTCAGGGTCTGAATGTAGTGGGGGGCTTCGGGGTCTTGATTGCGCCGTGGGTTTTGGGGGCTTCGCATTCGAGGTCTGCGGTTTTGGCGCGCTGATTTTCCGGGTTTGGGGTTGAGGTGTATGCGCGTAAGATTAAGAACCTTTTCAAATGTAGGGTATCGCCCTCTCCCTGAGATGAAAATCCCCAACCCCAAATACTATTATTATCCTTATGATTTATGACTACTGCTTTTCTTGTTACCATTACTGTTATTATCCTTATTACTAATTACTATATTTTGTTATCATTCTTGCTATTCTCACTAGCACTATTTTGTTATTGTAATGCTTTTCATGAAGTCCATAATGTGTGCGGTTTTCATGTTGATCTGCTGTGTCGGGCCAAAGATCTTCAGGGGTTCAAGTGACCGTATAGGACCCCAAACCTGACGCCTGAACCCAGGGCGGGGCCGTGCTATCAATCGGGGAACCCCTAGATACCCTTCATATTACCAAACAAACCAAGGGCCCATAGTTTGAAACCCTTTAGGGGGCAAGGGCCCTATGAAGGGACCGTGTAACTGTCCGAAGAGTGGCGCCCTTAGCTCTACAGGGAAGAGCTCCTAATAGAGACGAGTGGTTCTGGGTTTTTTAGGGAGCCTTTCGGCAGTAGTAGGGAAGGTCAGTCGGGAACATTGGGTTACTCATCCTTAAGCTCCCCCTAAGGACCTTAGGGACCCTTCAACATAAGTCTTTCCGAACATTGCATCGCCGGTTTGCGGCAGGGTATCTAGGAGCATGGAGAAGCCAACCCTAAACCCTAAACCCTAAACCCCAAACCCCAAACCCTAAACCCTAAACCCTAAACCCTAAACCCCAAACCCTAAACCCTAAACCCTAAACCGGCGCGTGACATTCCCGCCCAGAAAGACTCTTAAAGCATCAAGGGTGGAACTATCACAAGTACAGAGGGGTCTCCAATGAAGACACTGCACTTTGAAATTGATACCTATACATCTTAATGCCTTTCCCTCAACTATCTGCCAAGGAATAGACATACGGTGAAAAACAGCTCTCAGAATGAAGAAGAAAATGCGACATTGCTCTGATAGCGTAGGACGCACCAGCAGAAGATGAGCCCAATCAGTCTCATGAGCCCAGCATGCCTTGGCAATACAGGATTGCAACGCCAGCGGCCTCTGCTTACTTGGAATTTTCGCAATATTAACAGGAGCAAGCCAACCAGTGCGGCATGTAAATAAAAATGCAGCTCATAAAGAGAAAAACCATCAGAGTCAGAACTCCACTGCTGATGCCGCAGGAAGTCCCAAAGCAGTGTTGCGAATGGCTGACGCATAAGAAACCCATCGCCGTCAAACTCTAGCTCCCCCGATGGCATTGACTGGAATCTTTCATTCTGCAGCATCCGAAGCTTGTTTCTATGAATGGCCCAAAGATCTTCAGCAATATCCCAGACCTGCTGACCAGCGTCAGCAGCCGTACGTTTTGAAATAGCGGATACTCTGTCTTGTAACAGTGCCAGCTTTTTCTGAGCTTCACCTCCGTCACGAAAAACCCGCTGAAGATGGCTATGATTGTTCCAGAAGTCACTTGTCCGGAGCAGATTTGCTTTCTTCGCTTCACCGTCTGCAGCATCGTTGTGAGTAGAACACCGCAACTCGAAAAAGGAATGCGCCTGATCATGACGTTGATGACTGGCGACCTTAACGAACTGCCATCGTTCAGCGTGATTACCAAAAGCTTCCCAGACTTTCCTCCACAAGCCATAATGAGAAAATCTGCGCCAATCAGACTCGATCCAGCCTCGTCGTTGCAGCAGACGGCAGCCATGAAAACAATATTTACTATCCGTGTATATAACACCAGAGACAGCGTGTCTTAACACCTGCCAGACGGCGTAGAGCTCAGCCTTGTTGTTTGTCTGCAAAGCACCCGGCAGACAACGAGACGCCGCTTTCACTGACTGCAGCGATTCAGGGGAGGCCCTCACGATAGCCCATGATGACAAAGCCAGACATTGGTTGGTGCCGTACTTTGTAGACCCATCTGTGAAAAAATGAACTGACTCATCCAAAATCGGTTCAAACTGAACATCAGGAATTTCATTCAAGAATCGGAAGTGATTGGATTGCTGAGACGGCGCTGGAAACAACCCCGCAACCCTAACCGCGTTATTAGGGCTACGCTGCAGATCATCAAGCTGTACGCTGTCACGAACAGACTGAGTACCTGAACAGTGGAATAGAATATGACACGCTCCCCCATCCTGGCCACATAAGTGGCACTTCGCTTGAGATTCCTGTAAAAACTTGCTCTTCACAGCCGTGTTCATAATGGCACCCACGGAGTAGTTGGCCCGGCAAGTGTTGTATTGCTTTCCATCGCCCATACTTGCGCGACAACAATCAACATGAAACACCTCCAGTCCTTGAAAATGCTCATCCTTTCTAACCTTCGGAACAGTAAGACACACCCATGACTCATGGAGCTGGTAGCGAAAGTCAGAGAACGAATTGTCCCTGACACTCCAGCGACTCCCATGTTGGTCAAGAACCTCAGCGTTTGGAAGCGGTGTCCAACGAATCAAAGCCAATTGCTCTTGGAAATAAGATATGGGACCCACAAGCATACTGTGGCCCGCTGCAAGAACCATGTTCCAACGCCGTACTATATTCACGGGGTCCTGTCTTATTCCTTTCTGCAGGGATTGCCATCGCTTTTGAAAAACGATCAAGAATGGCTCATAGATATCTGCTGCAGAAAGGAGCGGCGCGAGAAAGTGATCCCGCTGATTCGAACGACCCCACAGGGCCGAAGAACATCTTCCACGCAGCTTGCGAAATGAACTAGTGGATATATGCACCAGCTCAGACCCATACAGAACTCCAGGCAAGATGACTCTGGATAAACTCTTGGCTTTACGAAAGTCAGACCACCGAACCACTTGAAGTTTTTGAAAACGGTGCTGCATCTTTTCGAATCTGACATTGAACCCTTTGGCTGTTTGACGCTGAACAGCACAAAAGAAAACCCTAAATCCTTAAAATCATGAACCACTTGCAGAGAGTGACCTGAGATTTGGGAAGCTCTCAGGAACTTTCGCGCTTTCACATCTGTGGCGTACATCTTCAGCTTGTCAAAAGACATAGACATGGCCAACGACTCAATTGTCTCCACTGCATTTGCTGTAGCTTGCAGAACTATATTTGCATCACTATGCTGAACAGACCAGTTGTCCACATAACTGTGTAAAGATACATGCGTCATCGCTCTCATGCGCGCGTCTGCAACCCAAGTAATAACCATCATAGCCGCCACAGATATAGGGCAGCCTTCTGGAACTCCAACTGACGAGGAAGTGGGGCGATGCAAAGTCCCGCCAAAGCAGAAAAACCGATTAAGCCCTCTCAGAAAAGCATCATGGGCCCTAAGCAACGTGTTGGGCCATCCAAGCTGACACGCAATTGCCTGGAACCCATCTCTCGGGATCAAGTTAAAAGCCTTGGTAAGGTCCATTGATGCACCTGCAAGCGACGCCTGCGAATAAAACGTTTCCTCAATCGAGGACTGCAACGACCACGCCATATCCATGGGGGATCGCCCTGGAATACATCCATATGCATCGAGCCCCTTCTGGCTTGCGCGCTGGCTTGCACGCACGCAATCGAGTCTGCAGCAGAGCTGGACTCTGGGCAATGTTTTCGTTTTGTGTCTTTTTTGACGCAAGCCAAGCTCGTTCAAATCGGTGCTTGTTAGACATGCGCCGCCACAATGGGAACCTATACCTGTCGGAAGCTAAACCCTGCATTTCGGGGGTCTTGAAGGCCGGGGTTGTTTGGAGGCTATCCATGGATTTAGGGTTTAGGAGGTGATCGAAGGGGGCTGGACTGGATGTCATAAAAGCATTGGGACTTTCGGGGCGGGTATAGCCGCCTTCATTCCTGCATTCTACATCCGAAGCTTCTACTGCAACGGGTCATCTGGGAGTTGCTCTAGCCGAAGCGCCGCTATTTTCCAAGTCTGGATCCTAGAATCTAGGCGAGAGATGAACTCAGATCGCACTGACCCTGACCCCTAATCCTTCGACAGGTATATGATGGGGTGGTTAGAGTTCCAGGTTTGGTCTACGTCCCTAAGCCCTAAACCCTAAACCC